ATCTATCTATCTATCTATCTATCTATCTATCTATCTATCTACCTGTCTCTCTACCTATCTATCTATCTATGTCAATCTATCTATCTACCTGTCTTTCTACCTATTTATCTATCTATATCAATCTATCTATCTACCTGTCTCTCTACCTATCTATCTATCTATATCAATCTATCTATCTATCTATCTATCTATATCAATCTATCTACCTATCTATCTATCTATCTATCTACCAATATGTCAGATATGTCCAACACACTAATACCATACAAAGCCCCTATTTCCACTTCAAAACGCCTACTATGCCCCACAACGCAACTTCTCAATCCAACCCCAAACCACGGGCTGCGCACCCGCGCGCTCACGGTAAGTCAATATCCGGCACACATTGGCACACCGGGCAGGCAACAGCGGCCAGCAATCTCCCTTTCTCGCCCCCCCTCCCCCTTCTAGGACAGAAGCAGCAGCAATTCGGGTTAGTCAGTGACTGACCCTAAACCCTTTGCGAGATTCATTTCCATCAACATCAGCAGTATTTCGTTCCAAGTGTCTGGCACACCGGGAAGGCACCAGTGCGAGCAGTCGTTCCCCCCTTTCCCCGTATATTTCGACGGATGCCCGTCACTGCGGAAGTTCGAGAGGTGAGTGATATCCAGGTAATCAAGCGCACACTCGCGGCATGACTTCATGGCGTCCTTCCACGAGTCCGCTGGAATTGTCATTCCCCTCCTTCCCCTGTCCTCGGTCATCGGGAGATCGGCATCGCATCGGCCTCCGGTGTTCCATTTTCCCCCCGTGAAGTGCACCGGGGAGAAGGAGCGAAAATAGGCCTGCCCTGTGAAGGACCCGTTCCGCATTAACTGGATTATATGCTCCGCCGCCAAACGTACGGCCAGGCGAACTGCTGTTTCCTTCGACATGTCCGGCCTAGGAATACCCCCTTGCACGAATCTGATCTTGCGAAGTGTCAGCTTCTCGTAGTTCCACCAATGAGCCGTGCTCACAACGATGACGTCAACGGAATCTAGTTTGGCAATCCAACCGGATGCTAATCTGTCCACGTGGAGTTCCCACCACGGAGCACTGTCAAACCCTCCTCCTCCCCCTCCCCCTCCTCCTCGTGGTTGTCGTCGTCCTGCTGCTGAACTAGTACCGAGCGCTCTCCGACCAGTGGTGGTAAGATTACGTCTACCTCTGCCTGCCCAAAACCGCCATCCTCCTCCTGCTACTCCTGCTGCTCCTCCTACTCCCGCTCCTCCTCCTAGTCGTACTCCTTTTCGTTGTCGTCCTGGCCGTCCTGATGTTGTACTTGTACAGAGCGTCGTCCTACCAGTAGTACTACTACTTCTACCTCTGGCAGTTCCATTTCTGTTGACGCGCACTCGCGTCACATGAGCACCGTGAGCACTAGCAGAGGCAGGAGAATGACGACGGGTCGCGGTATGAGGAGGAGGAAGTGTCCGATGGGTCGCGCCCGGGATCTCCCGCCCATTGTCCTGCTCTTGAAGACGTATTAGGTATGGGGCCCAGAACTGGCATACTCTGACCTGGAGCTCTCCTGCCCATACCCTGCATAACCGGTGGTCCGCCGTGGAAAAACTTTCAGGCCTGCCGTACTGCGCGGTAATCATACAAGTGAGGGATAAGAACATGTTCTCCCCCAAGCTGTCCCCCGCGAAAGCCAAAGTCGCGAAATTGTCCGACTCTGTGAAACTGTCCGCCGGCTTGCCAACGGCCTTCTCAGGACCGGCGGACATGCTGCTTTCGCTCCCCATCGTCTTCGGCTCCTTCTCGGTCTTCACCGCCTCCTGGCCGCCTTCTTCCCCGCCGCCATCCACGTCATCGTCACGAGCTCCAGCACTCCCTGCTTGGGGTGATGATCTCGCTTTCCGCCATAGCCGCCGCTTATTGATACAGTGCAAAGCTTGGACAAATCGACGCACGCTGAACTCGGGAATGTGACACGTGGACGCCTGCCATCGCCAGTGCTGATAGGTGTCATTCTGCCTTCCTGCTCGAGCGCAATTATACTTATACAGACCTGGACAAGAGGGGTATGGGCTCGGCCTCTCGAGATCCAGCACCCATCGTCCTTGCATGTAATTAAGGCGGCAATCAGAAATAGTAGAATTAGCAAAAGCGGCGTGGAGATCACTGTAATTGCACGAAAAGGTTTTCCAAAAAGGTAACTTTTCTGGTGTGACAGTCGTGATAGTCGTGACAGTCGTGACAGTCGTCCAATTCGCTGTGGTCAGCGATCCGCCTTGCGAACTTGCAAAGGAATCGACGGTCCAGAAACGACTCCGAGGCAGAACAAAGACCGTCAGAATCATGCACAACCCAGAGATCACAATCAAAGACCACCCCGGTTTACCCACACGCTTCAACGTGGCCTTGATGACCTGTCCATAGCCACGAGCAAGAGAATTCCCGGCCCCTTCAACAGCCTTGCTCTTGCCGGCCAGTGCCGACTGCTCTTCTTTCGTCAGCATTCCCGGCGGTTCTCTTTCGTTCTCCTCGCGTGACCAGTTCTCGTCATCCTTCTCCCCCTCCATCTCTCTCTCTCTCTCTCTCTCTCTCTCTCTCTCTCTCTCTCTCTCTCTCTCTCTCTCTCTCTCTCTCTCTCTCTCTCTGTGTCTCTCTGTGCCCGTCCTGGACCACCACCTATTTCTCAACCTCCCAGGAAAAAAATGCTCTCTCTCTCTCTCTCTCTCTCTCTCTCTCTCTCTCTCTCTGTGTGTGTGTGTGTGTGCCTGCTCTTCTAGAGTGGGCAGCAATCTTTCTTGCGGGCTTCCTCAGGCGGACGAGACCACTCCGCCGCGTGATCTGTCGACAATGGCGTGCAACTGGCGCTACGGCGCACTCCCCCAACGGGCTTAGCTGGACTTCTTTCCATACATGCAAACGCATTGTGGGCCACACCACTGTCGAAACGAAAAAGCAATGGACGCGTCTTCCCGCAAAGAATGGCATGATGCATCCGTTACTATGAAGAGCAACGGATGCATCTTACCACTTCCCGGGGAAGATGCGTCCATTGCTTTTTCGTTTGGACAGTGGTGTGGCGAGGCCCTTTGTCGATGAATCTTCACCTCAGAGGTCATCAAATACGCTGGTCGTAGTATTTTATTTTGTCTTTCCGACATTAAATTTTGGGAAAGTGTTAGAGCTATGCCGTTTTTCCAAAACCTAAAAAAGAAAAAAAAAGAGCTATGCCGTTTGCCACGACATCCGATTCCATCGATACCTGCCGTTGACGGCGCCCTCAAAAGAACGAAACATCCCCTTCAGCATCTGTGACTGATGATTTGGAGATCGTGCAGGTACGATGCACCTTACCTTCGCTAATGACATGGCTTTTTTTTTTCTTTTTTCTTTTTTTTGGGGAAAGTAAAGCACTACCATGTGCAGGGCCGAGTGCTCAAGGCAAATCCCGAAAAAAAGAAAGAAAAAAGAAAAAAAAAGGTGCTCAAGGCAAATACACAGTATGATTAGGGACTCGCCTACGGCTGACGACTGCCATGTGGTCGAATTTTTTAACACAAATTTCAATATTGTTCTTTTTTTTTTTTTTGACGGCTTTGAGATATGATCACCCAACTGACACCGGCAGGGGACATCCCACTACCGATGTATGTGGATTAATGACAGGCCTCGTGGATTTGGCCGGCATTCTTTTTCTGTTTTTTTTTTGTTTTTGTTTTTTTTTGCAAAAGACTCAGCTCATTTGATTACGCAAACGAAAGGAAGAGGCCGGGAATCCTCAACAAACAACCCGGGGAAAGGAAGAAAATTGTTACTGGGACCATTACCCAGCTGGGGAGTAGGCGGCAGGGTGAAACAAATCCAGAGACAGAAATGGCCAGAACCAGACCGCTGTCCTGATGATACCCGCCCGGGAAAAAAAAACTGCCTGCCTCAGGCCACCAAAGCCTAACAATCCAAAATAAAATTTCTGTTTTTTTTTGGAAAGCTTGGACATTTTATTGCACGAAAATATTTGGACGAGGCAGGGGACCTCACAATTCAACCCGGAGTTATCCTGGCAGCCTCAGCCAGTTTCGCTTACGAGCCAAGCTCGACTACCAAACTAACTGCTCACAATAACTCATCCGAAATGCTGGAAACCAGGTCCAGCGTCCTGTCCTTAATTGCTCTCCAAAAGTAAGGGCCTCGCCACACCAATGTCGAAACATCACGAAATTCGACATATGTCAGGAGATTTTCGACATTCCCTCTTTCGACATAAAACCCCTCTTCGCCACACCGCATGTCCAAGTGAAGAACTGACGAGTTGTATGCACCAAAGAGACAAACTGGGGTGAAGATAGGACAAGCTGACGAGTTGTATGCACCAAAGAGACAAACTGGGGTGAAGATAGGACAAGCGTTGGTGCGTTATCTTTTTTGACATTCGGGCAAGAATTCAACATTCCATCCGAGGACTGCTGAAAATGTGCGAGTTGCAGGCTGGGAAACGAGCCCTTCTT